ATTCCCTATGGAAAGGGGGATCCATGGAAAGGCACTGGAAGTGCCCAGGGAGGTTTGCAGTGCCCATCCCTGGAGGTGCCCCAGGAAGGGCTGGATGTGGCACTCAGTGCTGGTGACAAGGTGGGAATTGGGCACAGCTTGATGATCCTGCAGGGCTTTTCCACCCTCACCATTCCTGTGCCTCCATGATTTTGCCAATGTTTCCCCTTGGGTCAGGTAATTTGCATTTCCTGGGCACTCAGTGTGGCTCCCTCTCAGGCTGCTCCTCAGGAAGGTTATTCCCATGCCCTGGCAGAGCCTGGCAGCATCCAGCACTCCCAGTGCTGTGCTCCCAGATGTTGGAGCAGCTATTAATAGCAGCAGGAGCTGAGCTGGGTTAGTGTATAATGAGCTGGGCTGTGGCTGCCTGGGGTGCTGCCAGTGCCCTGCAAGGATGAGATGAGATGCAGGACACCTTGAACAGCCCTGCCAGCCCTGCTGGGCAGCCAGGACAGAGCTCCCCTCTCCATCCCAATTCCCCTGATGCTGCAGGCTGCTGGCATTCCTGTGGCAGCCCCTCCAGATGTGCAGCACACCCTCTGCACAGAGCAGCTTCTTCCTGCTGACAAAATGGGACTTAGAGAACAGCTCTCAACCCAGTGTGTGTGTTAGAATTGCACAAAAAATTTGTTTTCCAGCATTTTTTTTCTCTTGACTGCTCTAAGAAGATGTTTAAATGTACAAAATGCAGTTAAATGGAAGAACTTTACATCCTTAAGCTGCCTAAATAAACGGTGTCATGAGCCTGGTAGCAGCATTAATCCAGGAAAAACAGCTCTGGGTGCCTCACAGTGAATATTTAACAACACAAATACCACCTGTGTCACGAGCATCGCCAGGAAAATGGGGACAGGTTTGAGAGGCTGCTGCTGTCTCCAAAGCTTTCTTTGGAAACAGCCAAAAGGCAGCTTTGTAGTGAAGGTGCTGTTCCTTCTCAATATGCCCAGTACTGTAGTTGTAAAAAATGAGTACTCAGTCTTTGAAATATTAATAAAACAGGCTGTTAAATTTTTAATCAGTATCATATCTGTGAGTAGCTTTTAACCCAGATATGTCAGGCTGGGAAGGGATCAGACCCTTCAGCCTGTGGGGAGCACAGGGGTTGTGTCTTTCTCAAAGACACCTCTGGACCTCTTTGCCTGGAGTGAGTTTCAAGATATCATTAAAAACCCTCTCTTGGCCCATGAAATGTGTCTCAATATATTTATTTTGACAATCACAATCCAAGCAGATGTCACTCCTCTGGTGGGTGTTGCTGTGTTCCTGGGTTAGAGCAGGAGCTGCAGTTTCCTAAGGAAGGGGTTGCAATGCATTCTGCTGACTTTCATCTCATCTCTTTTATTTCTGTGCTTTCTTTTAGGAAACACTCCTTTACATCTTGCTGTGATGTTGGGACATAAAGGTGGGTAAAACCATTTGTTTTGTTACATTTTCAGTGATCCTGAAGATTTGGGGGCAAGAGGAAAAAAGGGGTTTTTCCCTTTCCTGAGTGTGATCTTGTGTTTCAAGCTAGTGAGGTTTTCTGGGAAGAAGATGCCACATGGATTTGGAGAAGAAGAGTGGGAAAGGAAATCTGAGCTTTATTCCCAGTATCCCACCTAACCCTGCCCTCTGGCAGTGTGAGCCATTCCCCTTTCCTGTCTCCTCTTGTCCCCAGCCCCTCTCAGCTCTCCTGGAGCCCCTTCAGGCCCTGGAAAGGCTCTGAGCTCTCCCTGGATCCTTCTCCCCTGCAGATGAGCACCCCCAGCTCTCCCAGCCCGTTTATTCAACTGGAAATGGAATCTGGCTGGAGATTCCAAGCTGGTTTGCCTGCTCCCTGCAGAGGGATGTTGTTGTCCTGGGCACAGTTGAAGGAGCCATAAAAATCCCTTGGCTGGGTTAGTCAGGGCCTTTGTTTATCCCACAGGAGACAGTTTGTTCAGCAGGGAGGGATCTCTTCCTCCCCAGCCACTCAGCCTGCCCTGACTCACAGCTGCTGCATCTGGAATGACCAGTGCAGTTTCCTGTGGCACCTGTGGTAGGAAAATAACCCAGGAAGTCCTGTGCTGCTGATGAGACAGCTGGGCCCTGCTGCATCACCTCCAGACGGCTCAGGGTGGCTTTGGTGACATGTGCTGAGCTTTCCTCGTGCTTGGAAACTGCAGAACCATTTCCAAGGAGCACATGGGGGCACTGAAACCCTCCTTGCTTCCTTCAGTTTTCCACCATCATGTCCACCTGTGGGTGGGGAATGCAGCTGTTGGTTCCACACCTGCTCTGAGGCTTTCCTGGAGCAGAGGTGCCTGCTTGCCCTCCTTAAACCCAGATTCCCCAGGATGTTGTGGCACACAGGGATGTGTTGGTGCCTCTGCCTCCCCTACACCTGATGGGAGTTGCCCCAAATCTGTGTCCCCATGATCCATTCACCCCTTGGAGAGGGATGAAGGCCCTGAGGTATCTCTCTGCTTTGTGTGTGCAGCAGAGAGAGCTGATGTCATACATTAAATATAAATATCTTTGTACCGTGGTGGTGTGTGTATCTGACATGCAGAAATATTATAAAAAGCAAACTCCACGTAGCAGGAGGGCCAAGTCTCTTCAGTGTTACATAATTGGTGGCTGATCACCAATTATTTTTAGTGATAATATTGAACAGGGAAGTGCTGGAAGTCCTTGCATAAATGGCTTTGTTTGTTAGAGTGAGTCAGAACCCAGATATGTGTTTTGATAATCTGTGTAATACCTCTGATATGAATTGCTTTGGTAGAGTTTTATCCTGATGCTCCTGCTGCATCCTTTACTGTAAATAACTGTGGATATTTTGTTCCAGAATGTGCCCACCTGCTCTTAGCCCATAATGCTCCAGTAAAGGTGAAAAACGCTCAGGGATGGAGCCCTCTGGCCGAAGCCATCAGCTATGGAGACAGACAGATGAGTAAGCACCTCTTCATTCATCCCAGTTTGCCAGTTAATCCCAAACTGGGGCTCATTCAGAGCAGGAAAGAAGAGCTCTCAAGCTGGGTTATTTTCCCACAACCCTCTTTCAGCTCTCTGAAGGGTTTCTCTTAATCAGCTGAACGTTTTATATCTGAGCATGATCAGGCACATCCATTTCCTTGATAAGAAATTGCACTGGGTTACATAAGTAAGCTGTTAACTCTGCTCAGACTGAGGGCATTGGGAGAGCTCTGCACGAGCTTATTCTGGGTTTGCAATGGCAGGGACAGGATCCAGATGGGTCTGGCCTGGGTGGGATCATCTCCTTGGCCTGCTCCCTGTGCTCACACGTTTGTTTGGGTATCATTGCCAGTGGGATGTGGCTTTTAGGCTGCATCTCAAGAGGCCAGTGGGAAAATATAGTTTATATATTATGTATTATTCAAATATTGTTTATTCACCTCAGACATGGAGTAGCAAAAGGAAATTATTCTGCTGCTACACACTGGTGGATATTAATAGTATTTGGTATTACCATGGTGGTGGTGCATCCTATAGCAGAAAACTCACTATATGTTACACATATAAATTAATTATATAAGTAATATATATAATATAAGCAATATAAGTAATATATATTAATAATATATAAGTATTATTAATATATTAATGCACTGGTTTATGATCTACCAACAGCATTCTCTTGTCAGCTCCTCACTATTGATTTTCTCAGTGGAGTAGATGTTACTCAGTATATTTGTATCCACATATTTACTAATACCTGTGTACAAACCCTCTTGACATGATTCTATAGTTAATTTTACAGACAATTATTGAGGCTTTCCTTCCTGGGGTGATCTGAGCAGGTTAATGTGCAGTTCCTGGAGCTGGGATTAATTCCTCAGGTCTGATGAAATGTTCCATTGCATTGTTGGGTTTAAGACCTCAAGTAAGACACTCACCTGTAATTATCAAACAACCAGAGTTCATGGATTCATTCCTGTGCAGTTTCAGCACTCCTGAGGAAGCTCAAGCAGCAGTCCAGGGAAAGTGTTGAAGAGAAGCGACCTCGGTTATTAAAAGCCCTGAAAGAGGTGAGTTGTGCTGCCAAAACCAGATGGGTGGAAAGCAGCGACTTGTGCTCTGAGTATGGACACTCTGGGAAACTGCCAGCAAGTTTTTTCCATGTTTTTACCAATCTTCTGCTCTTAAAAGCAATCTTGGCTCTGTTTTAAGGAGTCACAGAATTATATTTATTTTAAGGTACTACTTCCTTTCAACTTCTAGAAATTCAAATACAAGGTTTGTGTAAGGCAGACCTGCTCATCATCATTGCAATCTCAGAGTTAAAGAATCTCTATTTCATTAGATTTTTAAGGCTTTCTTAAACCTTGTGTCAGTGAATAATTTCCTGGTGTGTTCAGACCCCAAATCCCCTTGCCCAGTGCTGGAGGAGATTTTTGTTTCATTCTCCATCAGCAGCCAGCAGCCAGTTCCCCTTGTGCACAATGAAATGTTGCTCAGTTTGGGGACAGCAGTTTGTAGAAGCCCAGTTATTTCTCAGAAGTTCAGAACTTGTCCCTGTGGAGGCTGAGCTGTGTTGGATCCCCGAGCCCCTCGTGCTGGGGTGGCTCTGGCTCACACCTGGTGACTTCAGCACATTTCCACCAGGCCACTGGCAATTGGTCTTTGCAACACTCCTGCCTGAAACTTGACTCATTAATTATTGTATAATTAATTCTAATTCCGTGGGATTGGATGGGATCAATCAAAGCAAGCAGAGAGCTCCATAGGTGCTTTTTAAATTGTTTCCAATAAATCTTTTGCAATCCAGGGCTTGATAGTTGACCTAGTATTAAGAAATGATGAAAAATGTGAGTTCAGATGAGTTACATCATTTTGTCATTATTGATTCTGCTGCAGCTAAAGCTTCAGTGATGTTTAAGTTCAGTACAAATTCAAGTACAACATTAGAGAAAGTTTTCTTTGCCAAACACAATTTCTGCCTGTCTTCCAGCAAATTTTACAGTCATTTAGCCTGAAAAGCTTGTTAACACATTCTTCTTTTCTTCTCAGCTAGGTGACTTCTATCTAGAGCTTCACTGGGATTTTCAAAGTTGGGGTGAGTGCTCCCATGTCCCTTCCCAGGGAGATAATGCAATCAGCCTGCAGCACACTGGGTCTGTGCTCTGTGCTGGAGCAGCCACAGTGCTTGGGATCTCAGTGCTGAGGAGAGGACACACAACTTTTTCCAGATTTAGTTTTGCTTATTCACTTCTGGAGCTGAATTCTCTCCAGTGACTCACTAAGGAGGGGAAGGAGCTCTTTGCTGTAAGAACCCGGGTGGGATGGGGATGATCCTTAAGGTCCTCCCCAATCCAAACCAGTCTGGGCTTCCATGATTTTATGTGTTTTGTTAATTTAATGATTAATATTAATACCTTGGATCATTTTTATGCTTGTGACTGTTCTGCTTTAATTGGAACCAGGCATTCTTTCCCTTGGTGCATTACATAAACTGTTAAATCCCAGAATTCAAACTGTGAACAGCCACAGTTGTTAGGATTTATAAATGGTTTACCTGTGATGGAAATACAAATTCTGTCTGATATTGGAAGCAGGGTGTGCAATTACAATTACAAAAAAAAATCAGTTTTATCAAATAGAAATACCCCTGATGTTGTGTTTGATTGAGATGTTGGAAAATGCTGTATTTGCATTAAAACACATCCAGAATCAGACTGATGGAATAGTTTTAATGGGAACACTTTGCAGAGGGATCTCAGTGTTCTGATTGCCTTTTCTCTCCCTCCTTTAGTGCCTTTACTTTCCCGAATTCTGCCTTCTGATGCATGTAAAATACACAAACAAGGTATAAATATCAGGTGAGTGCTGCTTTGGTACCCAAATACTTCAGTGCCAGGGAAAAGCTGGGTCCCAGTGAGCCTGGGCTCATCCATGGCACAGCACTGAGCCTTGCCATTTCAGGCTCTCTGATTATCTCCTTTGAGCTGAATATTACTTAAATATAGAGCAAGAGCAGTTCAGCTGGATAAGGCTTTATCTACCAGATGTGCCAGTGAAAAACAGGGATTGGGTATTTATAACACAATTGCAAAGAAATTCCAGTATTTCGTGGAGAAGTGTTGCTGCTCCAGTCTGGAGTTTAAAAATAAAACCAGCCAAAAAGTGATATAATTTCTCTCTTTAAGGTGTTTAATGTGACAAATTCACAAACTCAGTAGGGGATTTCAGGAGCCTCTCCAAGCTCAACTCTTTTTAGTTCAGAACCAAATGTATTTTCTGGCATTTTCTTTAGGGCCCAGAATTTAAAACAAAGAGGCAAGAATATGATCCTGGAGATTCAATCTGTAGAAATTTTTGTTGTATTAAAGGGGCAGCTTGGGTCTGTTTGTTTGAGTCCGGGGCTGTTGCTTTCCTTCTCATTTCTGAATGCTGTGCCTGTATGAGGCCTGAACTGAGGGGAAATAGATAAATACAGGTTTTTCCTTGAAATCAGAGGCAAATCTATGAGGAGTTTTAATCCCTCACCACTTAGAATTGAAGTTACCCAGCTGAGGTTCTTTAACCACCTCTTTATGAGAAATAAATGCTCTGCAATAGTGGACATGAATTACTACAGCAATCCATGGCCTCAGCTCCATCTTCTTCCAGTTACTCAGGTCTGCAGGAGCATTTCCTTGCTGTTGGTGAGGGATTAAAACAGAAATAGCAATGAAAATAAATAAAATTTTAAAAAATGAGTTTGTTTCTGAGTCCTCTTCACGTTTTGGGTGATGTCCCAGTGTTGTTATTCAAGTCAGGACCCTGCTGAGGAGTTGTTTCTCAGTGTGTAGCACTGAATAGAATCTCTCCCCCTCCCCTCCTCATGCTGGCAGTGTTAAATACAATTTTCTGAAGAAAACTTTACCTTTATAGCAATTTTTTGCCGATTTCTGCATCGAGGCCTCGCTTATGAAATCCTGTGAAAACTCAGCCCTTCATGTGTTTGTTTGCCATTAAAGAAATGCACTTTCCTGCTTGGAAGCTGAATTTCCTCCTGCATTTGTGGGTAATTTTTGTGACATTTGGGGTTGTTTTCACAGGCTGGACACAACTCTGATAGACTTTACTGACATGAAGTGCCAACGAGGGGATTTAAGCTTCATTTTTAACGGTGACGCCGCACCCTCCGAATCTTTTGTAGTTTTAGACAATGAGCAAAAAGTTTACCAGCGAATACACCACGAGGTAAAGCTCTGGGAAGGGGGTGGGACTCATCCCAGGCTCTTTTGGGAATGTGTCAAACAGAATTTGCCTCAGAAACACCCAAAGAGCTGCAAAGCAAAGAATTTTTACCTCAGTTCTTTCAACTTGAGCTGTGAAGGTGAAATCGAATTTTGTGAGGGAAGCCAGCTTTGAATCCAGATTTCTGGTTGAGGAGAAGCTGGAATGGGAATGGACTGGAAAGATGTGGTTTAAATTGTGATGTGCTGCTTTTCATCTTTCCACTGGGCTCAACTGAGGTGTCCTCAGGTGGGTTTTCAGAGCTGTTCCCACTGCTTTGCATCCTTTTAGTCACTCCATGGCCAGTTCAGCTGATAACAGCGTGAGGGTCTGACTCACTGGACCCCCTGTAATTAGTCAAGTCTTTAATTACAGCTTTATCCCCCAATCACTTAAGCAGATGGATTATTGCCTGTGGAAAGGGTGTGGCTGCTGAGCTGCTGCATAAATCCCATTGGGATGCTTTATTCACATTAATATTCAAGATTAAACTGTTTGGAAACCATTTGGCCAGAGGTTTTATAAAACCGCTTGAAAATGCAGGAAATGCTGCTTCTGGGAAAAGATCCAAAGGACAGGGCTTATGCATTTGTGTTTATTGGTGTATCTTTAGAGGAAGCAATCCTTGTTTGCTGAGTGTTTTGGAATTTTTCTTCCAGGAATCTGAGATGGAGACAGAAGAGGAGGTTGACATTTTGATGAGCAGTGATATTTACTCTGCCACCTTATCCACCAAATCCATCACGTTCACACGGGCCCAGACTGGGTGGCTCTTCAGGGAGGACAAAACTGTGAGTGAGGGGGGCTCAGAGGTGCTGCTGGGCAGGAGGGAGGGGGAAAGGCACTGCAGGAAGCACTGGGACAGATTCCTGGAGAAATTCCAGCTGCCCTGGATCCCTGGCAGTGCCCAGGCCAGGCTGCACAGGGCTGGGAGCAGCCTGGGATGGTGGAAGCTGTCCCTGCCATGGCAGGGAGCTGGAATGGGGTGAGCTTTGAGGTCCCTTGTGGCACAAACCAATCCAGGATTCTGAAAGGACAAGGTGTGCAGGACACAGGAAAAATCCTTTCCCTGTATCCCCAATTATCACAGGTCCATTCCATGTGGAATCTCTCTGCTGGACTGCCTTCAGCAGGAAAAACAAGGAAGAAGGATCTTGTAGCTGTTGGGCAGGGGGAGGACAGGTTGTGCTTGTGCTGGGAATGGTTTGGTTCCAGCAGGCTCTGATCTCTGCAGGTTGGCTCCAGGGAGGGCAGGAAGGGTTCTCTGTGCTCCTGCTGCACAAGGGCAGCCATGGGAGTGCTCTGCAAAGGGATTTCACTCAGACTCTTCAACAATCTCTGTCTTAAAGCTTCCCTGCATAAGGAGTACCTGTTCCTGCTGGATTTTTGGGATTGCCCACTGCCAGCCCATGTTGGGGGGCTGGAGCAATTCCAGCTCAATCCCCAGGTTCCCTTACTGCCATTATTTGATACGCAAGAATCAAAATGTTTGTATTTTATCTTCTGTGAGTCATTAATGTCCAAATTCCTTTCGTGCAGGAAAGAGTAGGAAACTTCCTGGCAGATTTCTACTTGGTGAATGGACTGGTGTTGGAATCCAGGAAAAGAAGGGAACATCTCAGTGAGGAGGACATCCTTCGGAATAAAGCGATCATGGAGAGCCTGAGCAAAGGGGGAAACCTCATGGAGCAGAATTTTGAGGTACAGTTGATTAACTTTGAGGTGTAGTTGATTAACTTTGCCCAGGATGTGGGAGAATAATCTTGAACACTGATCCTCGTGGTGCAAAATACATAGATAATGTTTTTATTTTCTTTTGATTGGCATAATCTAAAAATCACAAACATGACCCACAAGTGTAATTTTGGTGATGCATTAATGAATTAGCCTGATTAGTGCACACAGGGAGGGATTTCTGTGGTTACATTGGGTATTCAGCCTTAATTTGTCTCTTAGAAGAGATGAGGGGTTTGGCTGTGGCAAATCAACTGTGGATTCTTTTAGACCCAATGCTGATTGTTGGGAATGAAAGGGAAGCCAGAAAGGCAATCGTGCTCCTTTGAGCTTCATTAAAATGGGAGGAAGCCTGTGATTAGCACCAGGAAATCAAGAGCTCTTCGGAAAGAGCCAGGCTTCAGCTGGGAGCACACACAGAGCTTTTAAAGTGATTAATTTATTTCTGTGTGAGCTGGAGCTGCTGCCTTGGCACTCAGAGCC